TAGGGCTTTAGGGTGTAGGGCTTTAGGGTTTTAGGGTTTCGGGTTAAGAGATCGGGCCAAGATCGAAGTTTGAATATTCTGGTTCAGACCTTTATATTGGATTCGCAGGGTCTTCGAAGCCTTAACCCCAACTCCACCCTGAACCTCAACCTGAATCGCCTGCTTACGTATCCTTAGTCCAAGGGATGGCTATGGTCATGTAGTCACGACCACAGTCACAATTCCACCTGCGGCCACAGTCCCAAACACTGTCATCAATACCATAGCAACCGCAGCCCTCAGTTTAGGATTTTAGGGTTTAGAGTTGCAGCTGCCGAAGACCACTTGTAGGGTTCATCCTGTCCGACTCCGTTCACATGATTCTAGGCTGCCCTAAACCCCAGACCCTAAATGGCCCTAAATCCCTTTACACCAGCACCTAGGAATGCTCCAGAACACCAGTGACCTCTAGTACCTAAACCCCGAAATCCCACATCCCACAACAATACCTTAGGGTTAAGGGTTTAGGATTTTGGGTTTAGGATTTAGGGTTTAGGGTTTAGGGTTTAGACTGAATGTAAGCCTTAAGCTTCACAAATGTCACCGCTGCGTTCCAAACGCCAGGAACCAACCCTGAAGTTTAAGAATCCCCAAACTCCGGTCCGCCAACTTACGCTCCGAGATACAGGCTCCCCCACCACACACCCCAAACCCTCGAATATAGAACTAAAAAATTACCAATACTATTTTGGGGGTTCCATTCATTACAGTAAAATGGGCCCCAAAACCCTATTCTATTATAAAGGCCCCTATATTATTCCGGTCTTTTCAAGCAGAAAACTATAGTTGCCAAAGTCTTAGCCCTGTGTTCCCTCTACTTAGGCCTCTGAACCCTAAGCTCCAAGCCCAAACCCCGAACTTTAAGCCGCGACCGTACCTTCAGGAGTCGGTCTCTCCGCCCCCAACGCCCACGCCTTTGGCAACTTCCTTGGGCGCCGCGAGCCCGGCAAGCTGATTGCAGAGGGGGAGCGGGGGAGTGGGCGAAAGATATCAGCGGTGTCGGGCTAGGAAGTCGGGTCAGGATGTTGTTGTTTGCTGATTTGGTTCTGAGTAGAGTGATGTTGATGGGGGTTTTTCGCTTTCATCGACACCATTATCATCATCATCATCATCATCATCACCACCATCATCAACAGCATCTGCTAGCTGTCAACGTCGTCACCTGTCGACCTGCTTCGGTCTAAGTCATTGTCTCTCAGGCCAGCTGATCAGTGCCAAACCCTAAACCGCTTTATACCAAAGATATTACCAAAAGAGGGGTCTACATAATTACCAAAGCTTCTTTTTTTGTTCGGGGGGGAGGTGTCCTCATTATAAATACAGTATAATATGCCCCAAAGCCTGATTCTAATTATGAGGGTCCCTATATTACCCAGGATCCTCTACTTGTCGCGGACTCGTCCATGCTTTGCTTTAACAACTCAGACACAACCGACCATAGTAATCTGAGACACTCAGTAGCTGAGTGGATACACTTTACACTTTTTGGGATAATATTACCTACTATAAAACCGAAAGTGTACACTTTTTTGGGCTTATGAACCCAGCAACTAAGGACATGCTCATGCAACCCTCAGTTCCCAGCCCGAAAGCACTACAGGTCTAAACCCCTAAACACCACACCCAAGCTCCAGACGAGACCCTAAACCCCAAAACCTAAAACCCTAAACCCTAAAACCCTAAACCCAGAAAAACCCTAAACCCTAAACCCAGAAAAGCCCTAAAGCCTCAAGAAGTAACCCTTCCTAGGCTGAGAACCTGTTTGCGTTGATCGGCGATGTCTCACCCAATGCGCATCTGTCTCAGCGTCGGTCTTGGTTTCTGGGTTTAAGGTTTAGGGTTTAGGGTTTAGGGTTTTGGGGTTTAAAAAGGGGTTTGGGGGTTGGGGGTTCAGGGGTTCAGGGGTTTAGGGGTTTAGGGTTTAGGGTTTGCGCTGGGGTCGCTCGCGCCTCTTCACGGGGCAGCTACCCATGCTTCTTTCACGCTGCCCCTCCCCATTGCGCTCGCTCTGCGTAGCTAGTATTCCCACCCCAGCCGCCCAAACCTTGACCTTGGCGGG